CCCTGGGCAGCCCCTGCCAAGGCCTCACCACCCTTTCCAGGCAGAAATTCCTCCTCCTGTCCCACCTGAGCCTCCCCTGGCACAGCTGGAGGCCGTTCCCTCTCCTCCTGTCCCTTGTTCCCTGGGAGCAGAGCCCGACCCCCCCCAGCTCCCCCCTCCTGTCAGGGGGTTGTGAGACCAGAAGGTCCCCCCTGAGCCTCCTTTTCTTCTCCTTTGCTCTCCTCTGAATAAGTCTGTTTAAATTCCAAGGATTTTTGAGTTATCAGGAAGCATATTAAGTTAATTTTTGTGATTTTTTTTGAATAATAATAAATATGGGGAAAATCACGTAAAATGAAAATACCTGAAATGATAAAGAAGCAAGACACAAACTTCAGTTACCCATGTTATTAACTCAATCAACAGAATGAAAATGATTCCACAGCTATGTGTGTTGGCACAAGCAAAACCCTCCAGCACTTCAGGTTACTCATGAAATACAAAAGCATTTTGAATTGTGCTTGTGCTTGTTAAAAAAAAACACAAACCTGCTTAAGAGTTCTTATGAAGGAAAGCAGCAACTACACCCTGCAAATATGGGGGGACTTGAAGGTCTTTTCCAGCCTCTATTACTCTGAAATCACAGCTGTGTGAGTGTGTTACACAAGGAGTGTGTTACCCTGACCTGGGGTGATCCCAGTCACACATGGCCACCACCCCCTTGGCCATTCCTTACCCTTCCAGGCAGGCAAAGAGCCCTGGGGTGATCACAACCTCCATGACCATCCCTCCCTGTATCCCTTCCTTACCCTTCCAGGCAAGCAAAGAGCCCTGGGGTGATCCCAGACACCATGGCCATTCCTGCCTGTATCCATTCCTTACCCTTCCAGGCAGACAAGGAGCCCTGGGGTGATCCCAGACCCCATGGCCATCCCTCCATGTGGCCATTCCTTACCCTTCCAGGCAGACAAGGAGCCCTGGGGTGATCTCAGACCCCACGGCCACCCCTCCCTGCATCCCTTCCTCACCTCTCCAGGCAGGCGAAGAGCCCGGCCTTGCCCCCCACGGCACAGAGCACTTTGGGGGCGCAGCGGGGCCGCGTCATCAGCATGGTCTGGTGGGACAGTCTGTGCTCGGGCATGAAGTGGTACTTGAGGGCCTCGTTGAGCAGGTGCTTGCAGGTGTGGTCGTCCCGGATGAGGTGGTTGGCCTCGTAGAGGCGCGTGAGGAACTTGACGCTGAGCAGGGGCAGGCGCACGCAGTGCAGCAGCTGCGCCAGGTGCTTCTGGCGCTCCTGCACGTCGTACTTGATCCAGGACTCCAGCGCGTAGAACACGCTCTCCTCCGTCACCACGTTGAGGCAGTCGTTGGACACGATCTCGTCCAGCTCGGCGTGCGTGAGCTCCAGGAACTCCTCGGTCTGGCACACGTCCTCGAAGTTCTGGCAGATGTACTTGTTGGCCGCCAGGTACAGGTCGTGGCAGCCGTAGGTCTCGGCGAAGCGCGAGATGCCGATGCAGTTGCCGGGGTCCAGCTGGCTCTCCAGGAAGGCGCAGCACTCCTTGACCACCAGCTTCACCTGGAGCAGGTTGGCGGCGGGCAGCAGCGACTCCACGGTGTCCTGGGAGATGAAGACGGTGCCGGTGTAGGCGTACTCCACGATGGCCTGCAGCGCCGCCTCGGCCACGCACTGGAACTCCACCTCGGCGTTCTCCTTCTCCGACAGGTTCCCGGTGAACATGGCCTTGAAGTAGGGGCTGATGCTGGCCAGCACCACCTTGTGGGCGTGGATCTTGGCGTCGCCCACGCGCAGCACGACGTCGCACAGCTCGCGGTGCTGCCGCAGCACGTTGAGGCCCTGCAGGAGCTGCTCCGAGTGCAGCGGGGTCAGCTTGGCCAGCAGGTACGGCGGGGACGACGGGTCCATCTGAGCGGGACACAGGGACACAGGGACACAGGGACGGTCACTGGGGCTCCACCCCACACACACGTGCCACACGTAACATGTAACAAGCACTGCCATCTCTGCTGTTATCTGATCAGGTTTATTGATCCCAGCTCACCCTTCCAACCCTCACGTGCGATGCTGTTTCACGCCAGTTAAATCCAGGACCTTAACAGCCTGGGCCAGATCCACCTCCACATCAACAACACAACTCAACCATCACTTTTTTTTGTTATGGAGTGAAATGCCTGTTATCTGATGCATGGACTACGTGACAGGATTCTACTGGGGCAGCCTCAGGTTGGGTACTACAATATCAGAGGGATCTAAAGCTGCTGGAGGGTGTCCAAAGGAGGGACATGAGGACGTGAAGAGCCTGGAGGGGCCATACAAGGAGCAGCTGAGGGTACTTGGGTTGTTCAGCTGGAGAACAGGAGACTGAGAGCAGAGCTCAGCGGGGGCTGCAGCTCCTCCTGAGGGGCAGCTCAATCTCTGCTCCCTGTGAGCAGGGACAGGACCCAGGGAATGGCCTGGAATTGTGTCAGGGCAGGGTCAGGTTGGATCTCAGGACAAGGTTCTTCCCCCAGAGGGTGGTTGGCACTGCCCAGGCTCCCCAGGGCAGTGGGCACAGCCCCAAGGCTGCCAGAGCTCCAGGAGGGTTTGGACAATTCTCTGAGGGACAGGATGGGATTGTTGGGTGTCCTGGGCAGGGCCAGGAGTTGGACTGGATGGTCCTTGGGGGTCCTTTCCAGCTCAGGACATTCCATGACTCTACATCAGGGATTTGAGAGAACTGAACAGTGACTAAAATAAAAATAAAGAGAGAACTGAAGAATAGAACTGGCTTATTTTAGACCAAGTTTTAAAAGTTCTAAAACTCCTTTGTGCAGCCCAACTCCTGCCTGCTCAGTGCTCCTGGGGAGCAGCCCAGCCCTGCTGTGCCCCCCTCTCCCTCTCCTCTGTGGCAGGGCCCTCCCTCTCAGGGCCCAGCTCTCCATTCCCATTCCCATTCCATGCCTTCACTCTGCAAACCAGCCCCACAGAGCCAGGGGGCAGGAAAAGCAGGAGCAGAGGCTCCTGTGCTCTGGATGCATGGAGCTCAAGAGAGCCTCACCTCACCTCATGGCTTTCACTGCCACAACATGCCTGTGGAAGGGGCAGAGATCAGAGCTGGGAGCTGGGCCTGCCTCCTCCATCAGGAGACAACGGTGGGAGCTGCTGAGGAGCTTCCCAGAGCTTCTGAGGGAGCAGGACCCAGGTGGACACCCTGGAGTTATCAGCACTTCACCCCCTCCCAGCCCTGAGAGCCACCCACAGTCCCACCATCACCAGGGGTGCAGAGGGAAGGGTCCTGCTCCTCCCCACAGCTCCACAAAACCCTCCTTCCCAAAGGTTCCACTGGAAGCACCTGGATGCCTGCTCTAATTGCAGCAGCATTGCCATTCCAAGGTGCTGCCCACCACTTTGTTCAGCCCCATCCCTGCACAGAGGTGGAGGGGGGGATGTGTCAGCTCCTGGACCAGGAGAAACAGCCCCACTGTTCCCCCCCAGCCCTCACTGAACAGCTGATTCCATGGCAATTCGATAAATGATCTCCCAGCTCTCACTCCTTCTATCTCAACAATAAGTTCATCATTTTTAGAGCTCCTTAACTGACACCTCCCTTGCAGGGAGCCCACTTAGAAGTGCTTCATCTGAAAGAACAAAAGGGGTTGCCAAGGTTTAAATGCAGAGTAGAAAGCACTGACAGGGACGTGAAGGATCACAGGTAGGGAGGGAAACCTCCTACCCATGGAAAGATACAGAAGCTCTCCTATTATAGCCCTACAGTAGAAAAAAATAACTGAAAGGAAGTATTTTAAGCACACCTGTAAAAGGCATGATAATATACAAAGTTTTCCCTATCAGAGTTTTGCAGCACAAATTGGAGGAATTAAAAAAATGAATTAAAAAAAAAAGCTGTTCAGCAGCCAAAACACTTTATTTCCCCTTTGTGTCTGTGCTCTGGGCAAAACTTGATTGCACAAACACAGACATGTGGCAGGGAAAAGGAATGGTCACAGCTCAGCTTTATAACTATATAATTATAACTAACTATATTTAAGTCTCTCTACAGCAATTGAAGTTTTTGTAGCACCCTGGTAGAACCTCTCACACCCCCTGCACACCTACACCACAGTTTGCTGGTATTTATTCCACTGCTCAGGAGGAACCAGCAGCTGGAACACGACCCAGCCCTGGACTGTACCCCAGTACAGGGGTTTGTGCCCCCAGCTCACATCAGTGGCCACCCCGGGGCTCTGGGCTGTCAGATTCTCCCAGGCTGGGCTTAAAACTCATCCTGAGCAGCAAGTTATTGGAAATAAGGAGGTTACCCGGCAGAGCTGGCTCACTGAGGGATCTGACTCTGCCAAAACGCAGCGTGTGTGCAGAGCAGGAACCAGCAGGGAGAGCTCCGGGCACTTCTGTGCCCCGAGGGGGAATTTCAGTGCCTGCCAAGCCCCGATTTAGAGCCCGGAATTCGCGGGGCAGCAAAGCCACTGGGCTGGTTCTGGGAGTCCCGAGACAGCACAAACCCAACCACACCCTGAGAGCCGGGCTGGGTTCGGGTCCGACACCCCGCACACAAAAAGGGCAAGAAAAAAGAAATACAGAGAGCGCCCTGCTGACGGAATTGACGCTCTCCGTGTGTTCGTGCTCAGCGCTGGTGCCCAAATCCAAGCCAGCCTGCGCCGGGGCTGAGGGAGCCGGGCTGGGACAGTGCCCGCAGGGAGGACGGGGCTGGGAGCACCTGTGGAAGGTGTCGCCCACGGCAGCGGGTGGAATGGGATTCAAGCCCGAACCATTCCGGGATTCCATGAAAACACCACCGGCTCTTGTGCCCTCATCCCTGCCCCTTATCCCCGGCAGCGCCAGGCTGGACCAGGAGCAACCTGTGGAAGGTGTCCCTGAACACGGCAGGGGTGGAACGGGACGGGATTTATGTCCCTTCCAACCCAAACCCTCCCGGGATTGCCGGGCTCCGCCGCTGCCGGCTCACACGGGGGTCTCCCCAGGGCGGGTCCCCCGAGCACCCGAGCCCGCTCCCGCTGCACCCCGCGCCAGGAGGCGGCGCTGCCCGCTGTACCGCGGCTCTCCCGGTCTCTATCCCAGTGATTTGTCGCGGTGCTCTATCCCGGTCCCA